ATACAAGGTACATCTCTTACAATTTAAATTTTTCATAAACATTTCTTTTTGCCAAATTTTGCCAAAAAAAATATGCAAGGTTAAACCCCTTACAAATTGAATTTTTTTTCATGAACATCTAATTTTTCCCAATCTTATTCAAAAAGCAAGGTTAACCCCTTACAATCTGCAATTTTCCAGAAACATTTGATTTTTTCCCATATTCGCTTTAAAAATATGCGAGGTTAACCCCTTTCAATTTGAAAATTTTCGTAACATCTAACTTTGCAAAATTTCACTAAAAAAGCAAGGTTTAATCCCTTACATCTGAAATTTTTCGGAAACATCTGATTTTGCCAAATTTCGCTAAAGTATGCAATGTTCACCCCTTACAATTTGAAATGTTTCATAAACATCTAACCCCATACAATCTGCAATTTTCCAGAAACATCTGATTTTTCCCGATTTTGCTAAAAAAAATGCAAGGTTAACGCCTTACAATTTGATTTTTTTCATAAACATCTAACTTTGCCCACTTTTACATTCAGCTAATGCTAACAAATTATCAGGTAACTGGATCATTAAACGGGACAGGTGCACATCGGCCTTGGAGCTCAGACCATGTGTCATGCACTCCTCAATGCATAGATGATGCACATAACACTACGGGTAGCACGGGCACAGCTGGGGGTACTGCCCAAACAATGATGAACGCATTGCGTATGCTTACAGAATTACCCACAATTCCGGTTTTTACCGTTTAGGTCTGGCTCTAATCACTTTACGCGATCCCCTGACGTCTCATACACTGACTTAAGGCAAAATAGTCAGACTTTCGCGGTCTTGTAACCAGACTTTGACTCTTAACGAAACATCGAATGAAAAGGGAAACATCAAATGCATATTGCAAACACTGGGCCCCCACCCTCCCCCGCCCCCGTTCAATGTTGTCTGTCATTGCGCGACGTGTGCTCCATCAGCTGGAGAGAACAACATTGACCGGGGGAGCAGGGCCGGAGTGGGTGACTGTTGCTAGGCTCAGGAAGTGTCCCAATCATTTTGGCAGAGATTGTAGACTGTTTCCCGGCCCCACCGTCAAGTCAATGGGGTCAGGGAACCAGACCAGCCTGTACCCTTTAAAAGCTACAGCAGCTTTAATTATGTCTTTATATATAGGGCATGGTAACTTACCCAGAATGCCATCCCTACTTCCTTTACAAGACTCTGTGAAGCTCATAAGCCTAGCCCTTCCCGGCCCAGCGCCCTAGGCCCTGTTTGCAGGGCGGGGGTACGTACGAAGCGCTATCATAAAGCAGGCACATCGGTATCGCGAACAGCTCCCCTGGTGTAATGTGGTGTTCTTGTGTAATGTTGTTTTCGTGTATTTTTATTTATTTATTTATTTATTTTAGAATTAAGTACGAGAACGTAATGTTTACTTTATTTTTCAGGAAAATAATGATTGATTACAGCCTGGTGAAGGACTGTTGGGAACAGCGAACAGAATAGGCATAGGATTAAGCCTGATTAACATTGTTACCAAACAAATCTGTAAACAGAAATTATCGTTTCCTTTTTTTCCCTTCAAAACATCCGAACTTAGTTGAAATAGTAGTGATGGAGTTGATAATCTGTATCTGTCCAAATACAAACAGTAGAAGTCAGGCGCGGATCCACGGGGGTTCGAACCCCACCCCCCAGCCAGCTGGACCCCCCCCCCCCTGCTCTGACACACACAGAATAGGCTAAAAATTACAAACATGATAAGATCGGATATAGAAATCTAATGGGCCTGAACCCCCCCCCCCCACACCGCCAAAAATTCAAAATAGCCTATACATAATAATAGTGTTCATTGTTGCGTAACGATAAGTATGTTTAGCGCATGTGCAGGCCTACTACTAACGAGGCTGCCGTATACAATTGTCCAAACAAATGAAAACAGTAAACTCATTACTGCCGACTTCAATTCTGTTCCATGAAGCCAAACAGATGCACACAGCAATGTTCCAGGTTTCTCCGCCTATAATATTAAGACAAATTGTTTTTGAGGAGAATTCTAAGGAAGCCTGGTGGCCGAGTGGTTAGAGCCGTCGTCCACAAATAGCGGAGTCCGGGATCGAATCCCGTCGGTGTCATTTTTGCTTTTCACCACACGCGTTCTATTCAGTCATTATAAGATGTTTAATTTCCCGTCGTAAAATACCAACAGTACCTTAGCTTAATCGGTAAGCACTGCTGCTGGTACTGTCCGCGAGTTCCAGGTTGGCACCTTCGTACAGGTTCAGGGCATGTGGTCCACTCGGAGGATCAGGGCTTAGGGTGCCGCCCTGTTCCTCCCTTAGCTCTTTGCTTTTACATGGTGACTGGCCCTCCGGGGTTACATGGATGGACAGGGAAGGAAGTGTGTATTGGCCGGGACCCCCGAGAGCCCGGAAGAGAACTAGGGGATTGTGATGGGGCATCGTTATGGCCCATCCAATCCCTGAAAGCTTGGCCAGCACATAACTTTTTTATTTTTTTTAAATCCTTTATTTTTTAACACTTTGGTTTAATGAGTTTGATGATTACATCTGCTCGGCAGGCCTACGGTAGTATTAAAAACAAAGCAAAGGTCTATGTAATAAATCAATGAATTTGTAATAATTTACTATAATCAAAACGAAGTTTTGTTCGATCAATATGACTATGCCATTATTAATGTCGCAATTTTCAATTGAAGTAAGAAACACAGTATGCAATATTGCACCGGGCAAAAATAAAAATTTGCATTGTTTCGAAAGAGCGGGACGCTCTTAATTCGTTTTGAATAGTGTGCGCAATTTCAGAACTGGAGCGCGTCAGTTAAAGCCTGCAAACTCAAACAAGCAAATTTATTTGTTACATGACATAATAGTAATTCATATTTCGTTCCAAAAAGAAAATTCAAAAGTTTTAAAAGGCACGTGGGCTCTATATATACCAACTTTTAAAAATGTCATACTTTATAAAACAAAAGTGTGCGCGTGACGATGCAGTATTTCGAAGATCTCTAAAAATGGATCCCGCTGCTTGATATTTGTTGTTCTTCCGTTTACCGACATTCTTAGCGCCGATAATACCCACCTCAGGGCAGTGTCATAGCGGGGGAAGGGGGGGGGGGTGCACAGTTGCAAATTGCAACCGGCTACAGATTTTTATAGCGAACTGGGAGAGAGAGGGGAGCGCAAAGGGGCCGGCGACATCATCGGGAAAAAAAAACAAATCACGTCAGTCGGCAGCGATGAAGAGCGCCACCTACTGTCCGAGAGCGTCCATATAAGGGCCCGCTTTTAACAGTGTCCCTATGGGTGCAATAAAGACCCCAATGATAAATGACTCCACTTCAGAAGGTCTGGAAATATACTCACAATTACTCTCCAAGGTGCTCGAGACACCATCAAACTGATAGCTTATTTCATGGTCTTTCTTTAACTTAATGAAATTTGGGAGAAATTTTTCAACCGAATATAATTATCCCTTAAAATACAGTCCTGAAGCCCATCGCCATTTTGAAAAACGGTGAATTCACTCCATTGCAAAAGATAGCGCTTTTAGGGCCCCAATTTCATCCAAATTGCACAGAAATACAAGCTCACGTTCCAGTGCACGGCTACCATCCTTATTTTGTACGAATCCTCAAGTTCATGGCCCACAATGTGCTCAAATACTGAATAATTTTAGGGGCATGTAAGTCGTGATTTGGCCGGCGTAGGCAATTTCAGACTGATTTACTGGCATGCACCTACAATCCTGTCCAAATCTCGCTGGGCCCCCACCCTCCCCCGGCCCCCGTTCAATTTTGTCTCTCAATGCGCGGTGTGTGCTCCATCAGCTGGGAGCAACATTGACAGGAGGAGCGGGGGAGTGGGTGACCGTGGCAGGCTCAAGAAGTGTCCCAACCATTTTGGCCGGGATTGTAGGTTGAATGTCAACAACTTCCTAAAAATACAATGCGATATTTCATTACGATGTTTTAATAAGAATGTCACGCATGACAAAAATTAGGCCTTTTACACGGTTATAATCCGGATATCTGTCTATTACTAGATGAACATTTTGCGTTCAGTAAAAGCAACTTCTGATTTTATACGCTACAGTGTTGATGACTATATCGTACCATTAATTTGTAGAATATTGTTTATAAAAAAAACCTGAAGTTTAAAGGGTCTTCAAGACGAATTTTGCTTAGGAACACATCTTGTGCAACTTTCTACTCCTATCATGAACAATATTTTACATCCCTTTTTGGTGAATTTTATTGAAAAGTGCACTTCTTTAAACATTTAAAATTGTGCACGCTTTTCCGGACATCCGAGGGCGCTGTTGCAGTGATGTCATTTCGGGAAGACATTTCGAAAATTTGCATGAATCATGGGTGCCGCACATGGCTTTGAATGTATATTAGTGAATCACATTTAAGTATTCAAGATTTGTTTTTTAAATTGGTACATTTATGAAGTTAAAGATCTCAGCTCACTACTACAATGTCAAAACCCCAGCGTTATGCGAATTTAGAACCATCAATGGCTTACTGTTAAAATGGCTGTTTAAGTTGCAGACAGAATCTTGTCACTATAGTTCAAATATTGATTTACAAATTGTGGCATACAGAATTCAGTACTTTTATTAACTTGCACGTGAACTTTGGGTGTATTATATAAGTTGAATAGGCATTTCTCTGCATGGTAACAATAGCTTGAAGGTTAAACGTTCACATTGATGAGTATTCAAAAGATCAGTCTGGGCGCATGCGCAACGAAGTGTGATCGCAGGCAACTGAGCTAAACTGCAGGGATTGTTCCAGTAAATATACATGTACATATATTTTAACCCTGAAACATGACGTGGATAATTCTGATCATGTGCCCTGTGACGTCATGCCGACAAGAAACCACAGGGCAAGCCAACCAGTTAAGCATATATTTGCATGCTATATGGCCTATATTGAACAATATAGGCCATATATGTTAACAATATACATTGCATACAGTGCAGTAAAGAACCGTTTGCTTAAAGTTTGCATCACCTGACAGCAGCATGAAAATTGGTAAACAAATGTCACTTGTTCCATAAAATTCATTTGCATTAATGCTAAAACCCGTTGATGCACAGGTTCAGATTTACAAACTCAGTTATTGAGTCGAAATTGTGCCGTTAATATTTACAAGAGAATACCGTCGTGGGCGACTTAATAACGCACTATTCGTGCGAAGTTGGCTACTAAATGCGTGCAGAAACACAGAATCAAAAACGAGAACTCTCTCAGTATATCCAAAATTGATGGAATCGAATGATGAATTCTATTGAGTCTCTTTTGACTCTGCATTCTCAGTTCTTTTTTTCTTCTTTTTTTGTGGTAGCAAAATAAGATTTATGGGCGAATGTTCAACTACACGATATGCTAAAACAAAAGCCGGTTGCAGAGGCAACGCCTAATACAAACATTTGGGTCGTGGTGAGACATGTACAGAAAGGTGTTTATGTATGTAATTATTATAACAAAAAATGAGGAAAACATATTGAGCATAAATCAAAGCATATAAGATTACAATGAAATTTCCAGGAATAAAAATAGCAGGACTGGGCTTTAAGAGGTGAAAAAAAAGATTAAAACCACACTGTTTCCAATCGCTGTGTTATGCCTGGAGTTTTAGGGTATCACGGTCCAGTGTTTTTTTTTTTTTTTGGCAGAGCTCCGGTTTGACATCTGTGTTTTGAGGGGATAATTGTCAATTTGGGAAAGCTGTGCAGCGAGTTTGTTAATTGGTTAGGCGTCACCACTGGTTTACCAGTAATGATGGATGAGAATTCTGTGTTCTTTATTGTCACATAGGATCATTCTGATTTCGTCAATCCCGATGAGTTGGGCAGGACTGGCATCAAAGAGTGGTACCAAGCCAATTGGAGTGATGTTGAAGATGACCCTTTTCCGTGATTCATACTCCCTTCTACTGCTTTCTTCTGTCAGTTTCATTTCACACGTCACTGATAGCCCATCATCTCCGCTACCCTTCCCTTCCTCCGACTCATGTAGTTGATAGAAAAGACGCTTTCTTCCGTTTCCTTTCATTGCATAGAAATTACGCTCGACTTTCGTTACCAATTCTCCATTTAGATTGTAAGCGTACACCGAAGAAATCGCAGTGCAACATCTGGTTGAAAACTGCATTAGTATCAAATTATTCACCATCTCTGCAGTATACCCCCTCATACCACGGTCGGTTAAGCCTACATTTATCATTTTTTGGCACTCTCCCGTGTCCTGGCTCCAAATACTAGTAACGCAGACGTCGCCGTTCGTGCTGAAACCAACGATAACATTATCGACGAGTTGAACCTTGGAGTTTTTCCCGGGGCATTTTAGTTTGTGTAAACACTCTCCGCTCCTCACATCCCACACGCGAATGTAGTCATCATCGAGGGCAGCTGCTACCATCCTGTCCCGATAGTCCACGTTATAACAAACCCCGACGTCGTCTGTAGGATCCAATTTCAGGATCCGTCGAAGTTTGCCGTCTTTCACGCACCACACGTAAATGTTACGAAACTTCTTGCTGTCTACCCCTCTGAAGGTACGCACGTACGTAATGACCAGTTCACCATCAAAGAACAATAACACCCTTTCATAGCGCCATTTTCCGTCTATCGTTTGTAGCAGCTTCCCTGTCCTTGCTTCAAATGCACAGGCCACCCCACTTTCGAACGGCACCACAATTACGCCATCTTTGAACTTTCCTAAGCCCGCTGGTTTGATAGTAGGAATAACACACTGAAGGGTTTTCTTCCGAATGTCAAAGACTTGGATCGCTTCCTCAAAGTTGTGAAGTGACAAAAGATCCCCATCGACAAGAACAATGCGGTGTTGAGGATTGGGATTTTTTTCCACATCGAGGTAAAACGTATTGGAATAAGAGGAATTTGTAGCCCAGTTTCTATCCAGATGGTAAGCTCTCATGTAGACGCCTTTCCACCTGCAAGTGCTGGTCAAACCCGCTGTGTTGTCATCAGTCACGATCCTATCTTTCTGGAAGGTGACGCTGTCGTCTCCTGCTTCACTAGCATCAGCTGCCTGCTCAGAAGGTCCATAGGAGGCTATCTTGGCCAGGTCCGTGGTGGTGCCGTAGTGCTCCCATCCTTTGCTTTGACAAAGAGGGCGCCATAATGAATCCTGATTGGTTGCATCACGTAGCCAACGGCAGCATGATGCCACGTGACACAGGTCAGATGCACCGAGGCGTTGCAAAATCGTCTTTATTAAGTCATCGGGGATAGCATAGATAAGAGGTGCAGTCGACGCAGCGGTGCTGCATTCACACATACTATTACTGCCAGGAATTCTACTGTCTGCCATGACTGCTGATCTGTTAAAATCAAACAAAAAAACGAAATCTCTTTTATTGCGATGCCAGGAACTGATATATGTGGAGTTTAATCCAGACATCAATTTTAAACAGTTATAAAGAGAAGGCTAGTTCAGACAATCTCAACCAAGGGCGGATCGGGGGGGGGGGCAACGGGGCCATGACCCCACCCCAACCCTAAAAAACGAACCAATTTTATTTTTACGTGACTTCGCAATAAAGGCAAACACTGCGTACATCGCAATCTTTTCTTCTACAAAAATGGTTAATAAGGTGGTCAGAAATTGCCTCAGATGTCACCACCACAGAGCATCTAGAATCAAGCACCGTTCGGGGCCCATCAGCGGGCCCCGAACCCCAAGCCATTTTTTTTGTAACCTACTTCTTGGTAAACCACTTTTTAAAAATATGTTCTGTATCCGCCCTTTTCCGAAAAAAAAACAGCAATCGCATTATTGTATTTTATTACTATCTGCCTTTCTGTGATTGCCATAGCATACAAAAATGACGTCATCGTTTAAAGACATGACAACAAACAATAAAATCAATCCGATAGGAAACTCGGCCGAGAGCTACCTGCTGAGCAGAAAAGTCATTCGAGGCTCTTTGCGCTAAATTTGCACACAATTATTCACGTGTACGGTCAATTTTTGCTGAGTTTTCTGCTTCGCATGGCCGTGAGGCAAATATCTCCCTCCTGTTTGATTTATTTCGCTTTGCAAGGTCAAGAACTCGCCAATGAAAGCACATTGTATGAAGCCCGGGAAGGAACAGGGTGGAATTATTTTTGGAAATTTCCTAATTCGTTCGCACGACTTACTAATTCGTTCGCACGAATTGCTATTTCGTTCGCACGAATTGCTATTTCGTTCGCACGAATTCCTATTTCGTTCGCACGAATTCCTATTTCGTTCGCACGAATTACTAATTCGTTCGCACGAATTCCTAATTCGTTCCCACGAATTACTAATTCGTTCACACGAATTGCTAATTCGTTCGCACGAATTCCTATTTCGTTCGCACGAATTCCTATTTCGTTCGCACGAATTCCTAATTCGTTAGCACGAATTACTAATTCGTTCGCACGAATTACTAATTCGTTCGCACGAATTCCTATTCGTAATTCGTGGGAACGAATGAGTAATTCGTGCGAACGAATTCCACCTGTCCCTTCCCGGGCTTCATAACATTGTTCTTGTTTGTCGGTCGAGTGAATTAATAAAAGAAAAAAAAAGGGTCAACCGCCAGCAGGCTTTAAACAATTTGCACACAAATATCTTAAAATCACGTGTACAGAGTACGCGATTTCATTGGCTAGTTGATCTTCTTAGTTCAGCACGTAGCTCAGGTTGACCGCGCACGGTGAGTTTTTCGCCTCGCGACGCGAAAGAAATCAAACAGGGGAGATATTTGCTCAGATATGAGGCAGTAAACTCGGCAAAAATTCACCGCACACGGAGATATTTTGTGAGCTAGGCGTGCTGAGCAAACGGCCTCGAATAACTTTTCGCTCAGTACGCATAGCTCTCGTGTGCGGCGGGCTTATGACCAAAAATTCCCTGGTCATGAAAGAGATAATACGCGCAACAATTTCTGTAGACCCATTCTAGAAGGTTATGCTCAACACGGAGAAAATAATGAGATATTTGCAATTTTAAAAGATAAGAAATATAGGTTTGTGATTTCCCACACTAAAACGATAATAGTAACTTCAATTATAGCCTTACAGTTAAACTCCACATTTCAGAAAGAATGCAGCTTTTCACCTTTGTTCAGTTTAGGACAAATTAAAATTACTTGTCTTATCCCAGTGTTTTCCTGATCACATAGATGACTACGTGCACGAGCAAGTACTGGACGGGCGTGTCAACTGCATGGCCGTACACAGAATCATACAAAGAATAGGCCTATGTGGATTGTGGATTTTCAATATTGCGGAGAGGGAAATGCAGTACTTTCTTATTCACTTGTATACACGAACACTGTGAGTTCAGGTGTTATAGGTAAAATGGGATAGGCCTACAATGCCATTCATGATTACAATGGCTTTCAGGTTAAAGCTCAAGGTAAAAGCAAGTGCTGAATAGAACAGCCTTGGCGCATGCGCACTTAAATGTGACTACTGGCAACTGTGCTGAGCTTCAATTATTCTCTAAAGAGAACAAATATTTATGCAATAAACACGTCACTTTAATAATATCATGTCACTGGACAAACTTACTACTCATTATCAGTATCCTTGTCGACGTCAAAATTATACGAGTTCTACTAGGAAAAACGTATATGTCCGCATTACTTAATTATGATGCGGACACAGTACAAATAATATCTTTCTTGATTTCGTTCTCTGTGATTCAAAGCAAATTTAGTGTGATGAATTTCACTACAAGACTAAAGTACCATTTGCAAAATGCAGCATTCGCTTTGAAATGTAATGTCACTTGGTGCTAATGCAGGGTGTGTCAAAAAAGGAAACCCAAATGCAAATGTAAAAACCTTCAACAAAAGCCATGCACTTAAATCCTGCATTTTAGGAGGAAATACAGCTCCCTCATCTTTGTTGAGATGTTTCCAAATTGAAACTACTTACATGTGCTATCCCAGTGTTTTCTTGATCACAGAGATGACTACGTGCACAAGCAAGTACTGTACGGGCGTGTCTATTACTGCATATGGTTTTGCACAGTATCATGCAATGATGTTTTTCAATATGGCGCACGCGGAAATGCAGTACTCTTTATTCAATTGTACACGAACACTGCGGGTTCAGGTGTAATGGGTACAATGGAAAAGCCTACCGTGCTCTGGGCCCTGCGTGAGTACAATAGCTTTCAGGTTAAACTTTCAAGTTGAATGCAAGTGCTGAATAGAAAAGACTTGGCGCATGCGCATTCGAATGTGACCGCAGGCAACTGTGCCAAGCTTCACTATGATGATTCGCTAGCAAATAGTTCTGTTTGGAAGAAGTTTACAGTTCAACGTTCGAGTTGAGTCAGTTGACGGCGATTCTTTGTTAGATTATCAGCCTCACTACATGCGTATTGGACTGTCAGCGCAGTATACAAAATATATTGAGTGGCTTAGTATAGAATGGGAGGAATATTATCGCTCCGTAAAATCTGGACTTTTCCATTTCACTAAGGGAGCTGAATTAGAATCAGACAAACACAATTCACTCGTAAATATTTGTAAACGGGTCAGCAGCTATAATAAAAATAAGGGCTGGATTATAACAAATTTGCTAGAATTTAACTCCATTAGCGCGATGCCAGTGCCGGCCGGACGAAGGTCGCGCGACGCAAAACAATAGGAAACAGAATATGGCGCGAGAAAGGTTAATTGCTCGTAGTGACTCTGCATTAAAGTGGCTCAACTGCTGTAAATAAAAGTGAATGTAGAATAGAGTTATGTAACAGCATTCATGTGAATAGCGCGTTGCATCTTTCGAGCAGCTGTGAAAAACAAAATAATTCTCCCACTGCGGAAATGAATGGCACGATCTTATTGCCACAGAATACAATGTATTACGTTAAATGCAAAGAGAAAAGCAGCAACTGAAATAGCCTAGGAGGTAAGCTGTCTGACAGCGAAACACGAGGTAAGGGGTTCGAATCCACTTGGTGTCATATTTTGGTTTTCAGCGTAGACGGTTTTGTCATTTAATTTAAGAGTTTCAATTTCCCGTTGTCAATTACCAACAGCAGTTAGCTCGGTCGGTCGGTAAGCTGACTCACAAGTTGGGACTGTCTGCGAAGTCCAGGTTGGCATCTGCGTACAGGTACGGGGTTCTTTTGCTGACTCGGCAGCAAGGCTTAGGGTGCCACCTCGTCTCCTCCCTCTATGGTGCCTGACTTTCGAGTTACATGGATGGACAGGGAAGGAGGTGTGGTGGGCCGGGTACCGAGTCCCAGAAGAGTTCTATATGGAAGTCGGTAAGGGGCTCATTGAGTTAGGGTCATAAGTCCGACTCCTGAAGACTTGGCCATCGCCACATAACTTTTTGTTTAATTTTTTTCTATCGGAGGACAATTGCAAGTATTATTAAGTGATCATATTGAGAGCTCTTACTGTAATCGTTCGATAATAATTTTAAAACGTGCTCGATAATACAAAAAAGGCATGTAACATAATCAAATCAAAACGTAATAAATCAAATCAGCTATAATTTGTGTGTACGAAAGAAAATAATTATGGAGCTTGCCTCGCCTTTTTGTTAATTAAAACATTTAGGCAAAGATTTTGCCCCGACTAGTGGTATATCACCACTAGTACTAGACAATTCGTCATGATAGAAACTTAAATGTCCATGTCTGATCAGAAGAGTAGGTAATGGTTCATGGGTGGTAGCGGTTCGTCGTGATAACGCCCTCTCGCGGCAGCGGGTTATCGTGAATCCAATATACGCAATCAACGTCTTAGCCCAAGACTAAAAGAAATGCGATAAAATCGTGCGTCCCGCAAAAATCGTTGCAACTAAATTCGGTGTCATAATAGACTGTGCTATAAGGAAATGTAGGAATTAAGGGGGAAATCTGCGGCTATCTACAGGCCTATACCCAAGTTGCTGGGGGAAAAATACGAATTTGATAGGGGCCTATAGCTCGGCAAACAGAATGCGACAAACGGAATGGCCACAGTCAATGCACCGGCAGTCGTGGCAGCGGCAGCAGACGTTGGAGGTGTGTCGTCTCCATTACACATTTTTAGAGGTGTGCAGGAACCGTTGACACCTATAAGGCTGTATGAGAAAATTAAAGTGGAAACATTGATGTAAAAAGTGGCAGTGCAGTGTGTGCACTACGGGGAAAACAAACTAAACGGTTACGTAGTGACTACACCGTAACGCCATTAATTGTTCAACTACTGTCATTAGGGCAAGGCAAATACACCATTTCGAATCTATATCAATTATCATTTTTATGGGGCTAAATCAAACCCTACCTTTTGTTGTTCTTTTTCCTTTGTGATCTGTGACCTTGGAGGACTTTTTGAAAGGGAAATTAAGTCCGAGAACCTTTCGGTTGACAGTCTGATTACAAATTCTGCCAAAGATCCTGCACTGTTTAGCTTAGGGATTTTCTTTTCAAATTGTATACAAAAAAAATCCTCATTGTTAAAAAAAAATTTTCTCATTGGTTTATTATCATGTACTGACACCACCAATCGGCAAAGAAAATAAAAATTACGACAGCAAATCATCCAAAATTCTGGCAACTTTTGATGCTGAAATAGCTGTACATTGAGGTTTCTGCCTAAAATGACATCACACTTTTGCTCATGAATTTGCATTTTCATCAGCATAAAACAACAAAAAGGCACCAAAATACCCTTTTAAAAACAAAACGATCATTGAAAATAAGATTAAATGGAACACAAAGCTGCATTATAAGCATGGCATTAAAAAAAATTACATGACATGTGCCCTTTAAAGTCTTCAAATTAAGGTGCATGAACATCATGGAAACTGCAGTATCACTATCAGGTCTGAGATGTTTGTGCAAAAGTGTTCATAATTAATATCTCATTGAAGGTACTTGACAAACAGAAGACCTGATAAAATTAGTCTCCTGCTGAATCTGCCTCCGTGGCTATGACGCCCCCTTCGTACGCCCACTCCCATCCTGGATACAGTGTGTTGCTTCGCCAACTAACCAAATGTCTGACCGCCATTGATCGACATGTTGGTGTGAAGCAGGTTTGCTCCCTGCAGTGTGTGCAGTGGATCATTGAAGATGGACCGAGATCACTCGAGGTAGAATTTTTTTAAATGGGGATATCGTAAACAGTTCTTTGCATCCCTGCTCTCTCGACAGATGCTGTACTAGTCTCAGTGTGCCCTATTCACCGATGCCTATCCCCCCCTTTCCACCATGGATGCAGGAGCCTTCGGCGTACACCGCCCTCTGTCGGTTTGTGACTCACGGGAAGGAGTCGGACATGACCAGGCCCGGATTACCCAATAAGCACAGTAGGCACTGTGCCTTTAGAGCCGGCCTACGACAAATTTGGGGGCCTACGAAAAATTTGGGGGCCTACGAAAACTTGAGAGAGGGCCTACGAAAATACCGCAGTGTGTCATAACTGACGCTGTACAGCATACTGCATTGGCCGTACGTATAAAATGTACGTGTAAAGTCTGTCGTTGTGAAGCACGGTGCCAACCATGGGCGTCGATCGGTGGGGAACGGGGGAACTGATGTCGTTCTCCAACGTTTTTCGTCCCTGAATATAAATACGTAGCCTACATTTAATTTTATAGCTCAGAACAGCTGATTTAATGGCTCCAAACTCGAAAAAGATGTTTAAATGATGATCTTGTGCTAAAACTTTGGCAGTCGTCAGAAATTTCCTCAGGTTGCACCACAGGGCACCTAGAATCCAATTTTTTTTTCATTGGCCCTTCAGCGAGCCCCGAACCCCGCGCCGGTTATAGGCTTCGCACTCGCACAATTCGCTCTGATCAAGATACACATGTACGTTCCACCCCCTCTTTGAGAAGCAAATGACGCCCTCGAGAATTGGTGCCAACAGGCTGTTAGAGCTAGGACCTATACCAGTTTGGCCTGGCTTGATTTGCACAGCCCCCCCCCCCCCAACAAAAGTGGTTCTGGATCCGTCCTTGTACCCCCCCCCCTCCCAATAGGCCTAATCTATAGCCACAGATTTTTATTATGTGGTTTTTTTTTTTAAACAGGGACATTTCCGGTTCTTTCCTAGTGTATCCAACTTCAGGAGTTGATTACTCATAACATGCATGGTTTTAGGGGACATTCCTCATTTTGCCACATTAGGTCACAAAATAGCCCCCTCGAGATGAAAATAAAACTGCCCTCAAACGCACATGAAAGCATTATGATCGCGTTTAAAAATGATTTCCTCTCTTGTAATGCAAAAGTGCCCCTCAAAAACACATTATAAACAAGATTGTGAACCTTCTCGAGATGGAAATCTATCCCTCAAAAACACACACACAAAAATTGTGCCCCTCTCAAAATGGAAAACTGGCCTGTAAAGAAATAATAGTGCTCCTCACGTTGTTAAAATGTAACTAATGCAAACATTTTTAGAAGTGTATATCAATGTTGGAAGTAAATTTTGCTCTGGGTAACATATATTCCTTGCAATGTAAACGAAAACAGTTTCACAATTTTCTTCTCATTCACACCGACGAAAGGTGCCTTTTTTCTGAGCAAATGCCTCTTTTTGGTGATGCCCCCAGTTTTAAAAACGTTCCGCCGCCCCCGATGATGATTGGCGTATTACATGTTCAGGTGTTAGTAAAAATGATACTTGCCTGTTAAGTACACAATACGACTCCAATTTAGATCGTTCAGTCGCCAAAGGTTCATGGATTTGCTTTGTTTCATCTCAAAGGCCTTTTCATGAACGTAGACTTGAATCAAGGCGTATGGCAACCCGGACACGAAAAAAAGACCATGCGAGTGGCAGGCTCGTTGGCTCCGTGCGCCGTCATCAGGGGCGTAATTCCCAGGGTGGGCGTTGGGTGGAGGTATATACCCCCATACTTTTTGAATGGGGGATGGGCCATTGAATCATCCCCCACCTTTTTATGATGAGAAAAAATATAATTGAGGATTTTGAGGTATTTTCCAAACGTCCCAGCAACTACAATGTATTCAGTAGCAAAGTGGAGAAACAAAGTACAAAAGCTTTTAAAAATGTAAGCGCGAGTATACATCATTGATAGAGAGCGTCCCAATATAATGTGGTGTCCAGCCCCCTCCCCCCCCCCCCTTTTCGAATGTCCACGGCCGGGCAATTCGGGCGTTTCATGTGCCACCGAAAGTTTGCAACGGAGAGTTCATTTTTCCTAGTGCATTGTGGGAGATGGTCGACAAATTCGCAGTTCCGGACATTTGAAATTGTAAGTTTTTTTCCGGTCAGTAGTTTCGTAAGCGTATGATTTGAGTATAAATTTGCCTTTTTCTTTTCTTTGTATCAATATGGTGTTTTTAGTAAGGCGGCAGAACGCTATACCCAAATTTAAAGCCAATTAGCTAAAGTTGTTTAATGACACTCATTCAAATGGCCTTGTTTTTTCGACCGTAATTGGAAAAACTGACTCTCCATAGCAAACTATTGGTGACGCACTGCATTGTGAATCGCCCGAATTCTATGATTTTGGTCATCCCCCCACCTCCGTCACAAATTTACCCCACTGGCCGTCAGTGCACTCGCGTGGTCACGATTCTAATCATGCCACCGGCTGACGTTAATGTGACATTGTATTATAATGGCATCATTCCCTAGATTTTGCGTAAGTACAAGAAAAGATGGAATTTTCCAAGCTAGCCAAGGGAGCTGAATTAGAATCAGACAAACAAAATTCCCTCGTAAATATTTGTAAACGGGTCACTAGTTTGATATAAATATAATGAGGTAGGGGAAACTTGCTAGAATTTTTCTCTTTCAGCGCGACGTGTCAGTGCCGACCGAAAGACGCGGGACGCGAAACAATTGATGAGACAGAATAAGGACGAGCTTGGTAAGGTTAATTGCTCGTAGTGACTCTGAATAGTCAACTGCTCGGTACATAAGAATGATTGTAGAAAAGAGTTACGTAACAGCATTCATGTGTATAGCGCGATTCTGATGCATCTTTCGTGCAGCTATGAAACACAAAGTAACTCTCCCACTGCGGAAAGAAGGATTATGTTTTAAACGCAAAGAGAAAAGCACCTACTGAAACAGCCTAGTTGTTAAGCTGTCTGACAGCGGACCCAGGGTTAGGGGTTCGAACCCGCTCGGTGTCATTTTTTGGTTTTCGATGCCCGCGGTTCTGTCATTTAAGACTATTAATTTTCCGTCGTCATTTACCAACAGCAGTTAGCTCGGTCGGTCGGTAAGCTGACTCACAAGTTGGGACTGTCTGCGAAGTCCAGGTTGGCATCTGCGTATAGGTACGGGGTTCTTTTGCTGACTCGGCAGCAAGGCTTAGGGTGCCACCTCGTTTCCTCCCTTTATGGTGCCTGACTTCGAGTTACATGGATGGACAGGGAAGGAGGTGTGGTGGGCCGGGTACCGAGTCCCAGAAGAGTTCTATATGGAAGTCGGTAAGGGGCTCATTGAGTTAGGGTCATAAGTCCGACTCCTGAAGACTTGGCCATCGCCACATAACTTTTTGTTTTATTTTCTTTCTTATCTATCGGAGGACAATTGCAAGAATGATTAATTTGTTATATTGAGAGCTTGTACTGTAATCGTTCGAAAGTAAGTTTTTAAATTGCTCGAAAATACAAAATTCAATCCAGCTATAATGTTTTTATTTCATTGTCGCAAAACTGTATGTACATGCTCAGTACCTTTGCGCATACCTTGTTCAGGCCTGTTCCCTGATCCCAGACTGCAGGGGGGAGTCTTTAAATCCTATACTGGAATTGTTTTTACATTTTTATATTTTTATATGCACAGCTGTAGCTGTCAACCCCCGTATATGAAGCGACTTCGCGCGGCAGCTTGTGCCGACATGACAGAATGTACAATCTTTTGACATGGGTTTCAGAACCGGATTTAAACTTCGCGGAGTTTTGAGCAGCGGTGTTTATTATTTACATTCTTCACTTTGTTCTTATTCCCTCTTCCTTTCCCCTTCCTTCTCCATTCTTCGGAACACTGCTGCCTAGGGCCTACGAAACACTTAATCCGGGCCTGCGCGTAGGCCCTTTGTAAATTAGGATGGGAGAACAATGTGCCCCCCCCCCTCCCGTTCTGAGGGACCCCAAAATAGCTCGGTCCTATCCTGACAGGGATAAATAATTTGCGGCACCGGTTTGATGCTGACCGTTTGACGCTTTTTTATGTAATGGGGGCGGGGGGGGGGTGTTCTGAGGATTGTTTTGGAAAAATATATTGCCAATCACGGCTTCAATTTATGCGCTTGCGACAGGCTCACAGTCCATACAAATGACGTTCAATGCTTACAAACCATAGAAAGGTCTATCGCTTATCGGCTGACCAACATTCCTTCCAGAATTTAGGAAAATCGGCCGTCGCGTAGGCCCTTCGTAAATTAGGATTGGAGAACAGTGTGCCCCCCCCCCACCCTCCGCTTCTGAGAGGACCCCAACATAGATCGGTCCTATCCCGACAGGGATCAATATCGTGCGGAACCGGTTTGATGCTGACCGCTTTAGCTCATAATTCGTTGGCTTTATTCACTGGAAACAGGTAAAGGGGTTCACCCCAGTAATTAGGCCAACAATCCGTCCGCCAAGCTCATGAATAAAAGCTGTACATTCAAATTATTCTATATCAGATATAGTTCTGAGAGCCATGGAATTGGGGAATTGAAGACATAATGGCACTGCACTTCTTGCCTGGACTTAGGGCTTCCAACTCTGAGCATTTTGATGCAATTGCGTCCGTGGACAGACTTTCGAAAAAGTGCTGACTCAGCATTTATGGAAATGGAATAAACTCCGCTATTTTGTTGAGCAAAGGTTTTTTTGGTGGAACTTTTTCTGAAAAATTAGATCTTATAATTGTCAGACATCCTTTTATGCTATTCAGAACTTTAAATTTCAGATTTTAGTGGAAATTAACTACAACTATGACAGTATAATACACCATGTGAACTTTGACCTTGGCCTGACCTTGACCTAGGCCGACAAAACCGGGCACCCCCTCTAGAATGACTTCTTGGGACCTATACAGTTAGTGTACCAAATTTGGCGCTTTAATCCGGCGAGTCACGATGTTTTCCTCAAGTCACTGGACTACTTGCCTATGCTGGGAATCAGCAGTTGCAGTTCTGATGGCGGTGCGACGAGTTGACCGCAGAGTTTGGCGAAATAAGAGCTTCCTTTTGAGTAAGAAATCCTACGTATATAATGGTGTAAATCGAGGACACACACTTGCAAAATCATCGATGAATTGACGACAGAAACCAAATCGAGGACTCCTCGGTTGGGAAACGTGTACAAAACCAATGAAAGATGTTGCAAAAAAGTATAAACAAAGGAAAGGGGAAGAGGAATAACAGAAAATCCGATTTACACCATAAACAAACGTGCTGGTGACGGTGTGTGTGTGTACTAGTGCCTCCCCTTTTCTTGCATTTTGCTCGACTTGGAGGACAAGAGCCCATTAGGTTCCCGCTACATTAATATACTCTATGTTTGAAGAATTATTGCTTCTTTATTTAAAAAATCTATTATCACGAAAATTTGGAATTCCCCACGGCTTTCTTTGGATGGGGGTGCCTTGAACAGCAAAAAGGTTTGAAGCGATTACATAAATTTGGAAACTTGACACTATTATTTATTCACGGTACACAAAACAAATTGTCCAAAAACATGAAGTATTTTATTATTATTTTTGTATGGAATTGGACGCAGCTCTGATCTTTGTCTGAACATTTAGGCAATGTATTACTGTGGCATAATCAGATTTTACTAGATAGATCTGGGGCCCTTTAGCCAAGGCCCAGTGGTGTTCAATACATTCTCAAGCCTGTATAGCCAGGGGGACTTCATGGTAAAAACGACCCTCTCTTTCCACCACGAGGCTGGCTGTGGCCATGATTCTTAACTATGGCCTTCGCGTGATACTAAGTTGTAATGCAAACTATTCTCGTACTCTGAATATGAAATAGTACTAAATCACACCGGCCGTGCCTTTTATTATCTTTTCTTTGATAAATCAAATCTATATTTTGAGGTGTATCAAACTAAGGATTTCGAAACAAATGAAAAATATTAAGTAGCCTACGGTATGGAAAATATTTCTCTACAAAAAAAACACGGGAATGATACTTTAGTCGGCGAACATTTTGGCGGTGAGGATTCCCATCCTGCAATATTAAAAAGGGTGTTCAATGTCAGAAGATGGTGAACAGCCCCACTGAAAACCAACTAAAACCGACACCCATAGCAATAAGCCACAACAGCGCCCGCTCGTGGCCAGTGGCGTTGCCATCGCCGTCAGTTGGATGTACATGTTCGTCGTCGTGAGGACAGACATCCTCCGTTGAGTTACGGCGGTTGCAGCTGTCTTCATTGCAGAAACAAAAGCCGCCCTCTACGGTCAGGTCGTCCGGTGCAATGATGGGTATGAGTACCTCGAGCCAGTGGGCGGCATCTTGGTCGCAGTAACATTGGTTTTCAGGAATTGTGGTGTTGGGTATGGCACCTGGTGGAGGACCGCATAGACGCGCCACACCAGCCTGTGATGCTCCTGGAGAAAGAAAAAAAAATAAGTAGGCCTAAGTAAAAAAAAAATAAAAAAATAATAAGAGTTGGTAACAGAGTGCAGCCTGCACAAAAGTCTATTTAGTCGATACATAATAGCTGTTCGCGGCATGCCGTGAATCCCCATATTTTAAGACAAAACCCGAATGCAAAGCTCAGTTACATTCGGGTTCTTACCCAAGCCTGTACCAGGATTTGAACTCCATCTTATCTCAAAATGTAATCTACTTTGGAAGTTCATTACCGGTTGAATGCCCACAGCAGGAAGCAATTACTTATCACTTAACTGAACGACTTGTTATAAGTTTGCCTGAATCCGTCCCAAGTGGCCTACAACGCACACATATACGTATTATCTAGTGTAACATTATTGAATTTGCGTTTATTTCCAAAAATGAAACCAACTAATTTCCTTTGTTTTGATCGTAGGTTGGTGCGCAAAAACCGTACTAAATCCTGAATTGTAGGCCTGTATTTGTGTCCAGAAAGGATGGCCTGGACTAGCTGGCCTTTCGATCGTGGTTTGGCGAATCGCCTTCATGTATTAACCCAAAAAAATGTTAGAATGGAATGAGTTAAAAAAAAAGTAAATCCTGGTATGGAAAAGACCATAGCTGACTTTTAAAAGGCAAACCCAATACGGGAAGTCTTTCCATGCATACAGCCTACACTGTGATCCGACGAATTTAGTCCGTTTCACTCCTATTTCAAATTTCAAATATTAGCCAATTATGTATTATTGCATACCATTTGGTCTCGTCATAACTCCCTCAAACAACATACACTGGGCGATTCCTTCATCGCAGACTGTGAGCAGCTCGTCACCAGGGTTGTCGCAGTCTATTGTCGAGTCTGGCATTTCTTCCATATCGACGCACTGGTAACACGACAAGGCTGCTCCAACTGGTGGCAGCGGTGGGATACGCAATTAAAAAACAAAAAGAGAACTCAACGTTGCATGACATTAGTCTTGCAAAAAGCTGCATTTTGTTTTCACTGTAGACACACTTTTTTTTATAATCAGTATTCGTCTACACTCATTATCCAAAAATAGACCGGTCGGATTATTGCCTTTCAGAAATATGGACAAAATTGTTGCATGGGTGATATAACGTTCTCTCAACCTCGTCCCCAGTGCTTACTTTATTTCCAACCTCGTTTCAAATAGTAAGCCCCATAGTATCCTGATTCGATACCGCAATTTGCTAATGATGGATGTTTATCGTGTAGTTGGTGTTGTTATTTTCAACGTGCATCATACATCCACGGCTTCTCAATATTAATACTCCCTTTCTTTCCAGTTTGCTCATATTAATATGACATGTGATACTGCATATTGGCGGGCCAGATTGTAACATTTTAACTTCAAAAAAGTTGTGTTTTCATAACTCACGGCACAACGAATTGATGCTGTTTTAACCCCAGACACAGCATGCAAAAACAAACGCTAATGTAACGCACATGCAGGCACTAGACTATTCCTCATTTGCATATGTGTTCAAAATCTTGCACATGCAAGTGATCCAATACCAGGGTGAGAGAGCAGGTAGTGGTGGGCGTGTTCTGCTCGACACCCTAGGGACGAGGTTGCCGGCCACCATTGCTTCGCCGTCGCCTCTGTACAGTGTAGGTGACGCGATATGCCGTCTTCAGGACACCATGGCTCAAAAATCGACGAGTTTCTTTATTGCTGGAAATAAGCATCTGTTGCAAACAAACAGTGTTTTCGCCTACATTTTCTCCATACATGTAGAAAAATTTGCTATATAGCAAACTGTATGAAACACTGAATGTTTACGACTCTCCAAACGTGTGCTGGGATACTTCACAGCGCAGTGTCCGAATCACATGCAAGCTAGTACGCACGGCCAGAAATAACCACGCATCTATGGAAGCCACTGGCTATAGCGCCTGCAACCACTAGACTCTTGTGCCATTACCGACCACAGCCGTGTCATTCGGACACGGCCACAGTATACCGAATGCATTTTTACGTTCGAGCACCCCGAATCAGCTCGTACTTTGTACTCACCTTCATAATTGATTGAGACCAAAATTAGTCCATAAAACAGCATTCCCGTGAAGCTCAATTCTGATTAAAAAAAACATGCGAGAGAACATTAAACCCTAAACAGTTCAATATAGGACTGAGTGTATAATAATATACGAACATGATGTCATCTTGTGAACAATATGCCTTCTTTGGATATAAAACACATATACTTTTCATAAATCAAAGAGTACATGCATGATGCACGTCGTAAAAATGGGGTGAAAAGTTACCCATTTTGGAGGTCTGGCAAGTGCGCTGTCGTCGTGAAGCTTGGCATTCAGTAATATCCAAGACGATTTTGAGATTTAAAAACGATCTTATTCAGTATTCTTACGGTAATATAAAAATACAGCAGGTGGGCGCCTAAATATAACGACTATTTGCATGAACTATAGGTAAGCCTATGCAAATATTGTTGAGTAGAGTGCATTATTTTGAAGTATTACTAAGCAGATTAGTGTGTCTGACTTTGGAATTTGACCGATAATTGTTTGCGCAGTCTGGGTATATACGTAGTGCATGTATAGTGCATGGCGCACCCAGGATTTGTATATGTGTGTAACGCTGGGAGGGGGGGGCACTAATAATGTAGCCCCCCCCCCCCCCCCCCCAGTGGCGTAAACTGTGCCGGGAAGTGGGGTGGTGGGCTATGGGATCATCAACATCAAAAACTTGCCCGGCCGTGTAAACTCCAAATGGCGGGGGGGGGGGGGGGGGCGCTCTTAAGGAAATATGTTTACTCGTGCTTAAATCAAAACGGCGCCACAGTACACTAGGGGGCGCTCTTCAGGATATATATGTTACTCCTGCTAATATTAAAACTGGGCATTTTTAAAGCTTCTGTACTTTATGTTTCCACTTTTCAATGCTATTGAATACATTTTGGTTTGGGATGTTCGACAATTTCATACCTCGAAATCCGTATTTTTCTTATATCTTATCGGGGCCGTATCATAAGTCCGAAATTTGGGACTAGGCATAAATTCCGCCTCATAGGTCCGACGCCTCAAAAGTCCGACGCCTCACAAGTCTGAGAATGGACAACGCTGTTTTGGACTGATGCGGCGTCGGAGCTATGAGGTGTCGGACTTTTGAGGCGGAATAAATAAATGCTTTGCCTCATAGGTCCGACGCATCATAAGTCCGATGCCTCATAAGTCCGAAATTTCGGACTTCAAGTTAATATGAGGCGTCGGACCTATGAGGCGTCGGACTTATGAGCGGACCCCATCTCATCACGGAAAAGTGGGGGGGGGGAGGAGATGATTCAACAGCCCATCCCCTTCTGGTCAAAAATTGGGGGGATATCTACCCCCATCCCCCGGAATTTACGCCCCCCCCCCACCATGAAACATATAAACGTTTAAAGTAGTGCACTTTGCAAACAGATTAGTTTTATCCCCTACTTTACAATGTATACAAACTTAGTATGCATGTTCATGGCATGAAACTTTAAGTACAAGAATACATATACTACTCCTTCAATCGCTTTTCCCCTGTTCATGATTCCTTTACATGTTGCCGGAGGGGGTGGGATGGGCTTGGAGCCTCACTCAAGGAGGGGAGGGGGCCACTGTTTGGGTGCGCAACTAACGAACCATGTAAACAAAAACCGTAAAATCACTGTCCATTTTTCAGTAGTTTTTACGGTTTATTACCGTTATTGCTCGAACCGTCACAAGAAAGAACGTGCTACGTGAATTTCCCGTGAAAACTGGTGCCCTGACGCGTGCTGGGATTCACAATGCTTTTATATTTCGTAACATTTCAAAACCCATCCCCTTTCAAACCATCACAACCGCCTTTTTTGAAACTGTGATTTGTATACACACCTAGTACATACAAGGAAGCTTCGTTACGTGTTTAAAAGCTGATCATTGTATACTGCCAAAGCCGTAATGCTTTGATATTGCCGAATTTGAAGAGCCAATGAAGCAACTAAACTAATCCTGCGGTGTTGACCAACTAGACAGGTTGAACCCTTTCCGCGGGGTAAGTAAAACGTTGAAAATGAAAATTACATAACAAAGAACAGATGCAAGGTATGTTGCAACTGTAAGATAACTTTAGCTGAAATGATATGAAAACCACTAAAAACAGACACGCCGTAAAACTATGCATACCCCACTCCCAGCTGCCGCCCCCCCCCCCCGCCCCACCCCAGGCCCCACGGCACCCCACTTTGTATTAAGTTTGCACTAACGGCAAATTACCGTTAAATTTACCGGAAATTCGTGCTGAAATTACAATCACCGTCATTTAGGAAACCCGTAACGGACCGTAATGTTACGGTATTTTGTTGACAACCCGTTTGACAGTGCTATTACCGTAACATTACGGGAACATGTTTTACAGTATACGGGCTGAAGTGAAGATGAGCGGAATTGAAGAAAGAAAATCAGCGTATAGCTCGACCAGCTGACCAGACCGCCGCTTTCAGAAACAAGACATCCGAGTCGGGTGAATGTAAAATAGGCCAAGGTCTTTTTAATTGGTTTTAAATTTGGATTTTTGACCAACAAAGATGCAAATTTACACTGTTTATTCGCTAAGACTTTATTCATTAGGGTCCTATGTCCTTTGCAATTACGTTTTGCGTACGAACACTACTTGGCGTTTCCTTCGCAAACCTTTCTGGGGGCGGGATCACCATTTTTTGTTATCGAAATTCACAGAGAAAAAAACACATAATCAATTGTCAATTCATTAATCCTATCAAGCGTCGCCGTCTCGCTCTCGCAGGCCACGTTTCCCGACACGACGAACCCGCAGCTAAGCTCCTGCTATGGTAACCCGAGGCGAAGCGCCGAGTCGGCCGACCACACATCACTCTAAAGATGCTCCTGGAGAAGGACACTGGGCTCGAGGGAAACGAGCTACTGTCGGCAATGAGGAACAGAGCACGCTGGCGAAAGGACTTCGTGAATACTCCACCAACGCCTCAAAGCATTGGGTGACTCAAGAGAGAGAGAGAGAGAAAGATTTGGTTCAGTGCTGGTTGTATCAATAACCAGCGCAAAGTTGTGGCCAAATCCGTGTCGGTTGCGTTGTCATGAAGTGTTAAACCTTGTGCGTAGGAGAAACAGAGTCCGACTGGAATCCAGTTTACTACTGTTTTTGGCTTTTCCGCATAGTTTGTTCTCGTTTTTTTGCTTTTCGCAAACGGTGGAAAAGCCTTTGCTTTTGCGCTTTTTTTTTTTTTTTTGGCTTTTCCGCATAGTTCTGCTCAAGACAAAATGCATGACAAAATGAGGAGTTGCAATTGTAGTTTAAATTGTAATGACAAATCTGACAAAATGATGGTGTTCTGTGTTACATGCTTGTATTTATTCTACATGCAATGGAGGAATATTAGACATGACTCTCGCCAGAGTTTAAATGGAGTCATACAAGTCCAGAACTTTTTTTCTCGTTTTTTTTTTATCCCGTTCACGATCAACAATAATGCAATACATCAAGTTGTAATCATTCGTTTACAGATGTTAAGATTAATAATGTTTTAAATGTGCTTCAGAGTTCTTGATTATGTCAATGGGATACAGATTTTTTTCTGAAGGCTTAAGCCACATGTGACTTACAATTGGGGTCGAGGAGTTCACTGCATTTAAGAAACACTTTTGTTCAATCATACTTGAGGTGAATGCAACTGGTGTCCATGTACCAAGACTACTGTAATAGCCCATTTGGAGTTGTGACAAAATTTGAACTTGTTGGAATAAGGTTTTGTACTTTTACTGTTTTGGGAAAAATAGTTTGTACCTGTTTTGAGCAGATATTTTGTAATTTCTCTGTTTTTAGAATATAACTAATCATGTATCACTAACCGTTAATGTAACAACAATTGACTGAAAGTGTAGTAAAAAATACTACACTCTGCCTATCACTACTTATAGATGATACAAGAGAAATTGATCAAGAGTTTTGTAGTAAATGCTACACTGTCGGTCATTTGTTGTTACATTATCGGTTTGTGAGAGATATTCTTTCAAAGTTTTTTTTATGAAGGCTTTAACTTCATTATAAAACGTACACTTTTTTCAATCCAGAATTCAATCCCTTGTGAAATATGGTGTAGTAACAAATAAGTCACGTGATCCGTGTGGCTGTGCGTCATATTTCTCGTCCAGTGAGCACACACATTCACACACCCAAGTTTACGTTACATACCAAGTGTGGACTTTCCATTGCTTTCGTGTAGTTAAGAAAAACCAGTGAAAAAAAAATCAGTTTTCTCAAACTGTGAAAGCTCTTTCAACCCAATTTTTTTCTATGATTCCCTTTAGTGTTTCTCTTTATTCTGCTACGGATAAACCTAACCCAAAAATGCCTCTAAACCTGTTTTCCAGAAATGGGGAAACACTGTGTGGACTTGCCCAAGTCCGCACAGTGTCTCCTCTACCTGGTTTAATGTGGACCTCTTTTGTTCAGAAGTCCACACAGTGAATGTAATGCCTGTACACTCACACACACACACAGAGTGTCGTTTTTTGCTATGCTTCCGAGGATCGGCTTTGTGTTTTCCTTTGTTTCCTGATCTAAACCTTTCCCATAGACTTAGTGCACAAACCTGCGTTCGAGGACAATAGGCAGGATGAATGGCCCCTTTGTGCTCTTTTTGTTGTCTGTCCTCGAGCGAAATACAATACCAGAACACAAGCTCATTAGGTCATAATATTGGTACAATTCGAGACCACCTTGAAAAGTAGGTATTAGGGCCTCGAATCGTATGCGGAACAAGTATGTGTGTTGTGTGAATTGTGATCAAAATGCACCGAAGCCATGCCGCGGCTGTAGAGTATACGACAAAACTGAGCGTCAATCGTAATAGTGCCTTGTAATATTCCATTCAGCGTTACAATCGATACTAGACTACGGTGGTTCCAATTTAGACGAGTCCACAGAATTCTTGGCCTCAATTCCTTCTAGCCAAAATGGCGAAAAAGATAATGCTCTGTGTACTTTCTGTAAGTTAGAGAGCCAAACGCTTGTTCATATATTTTGTAGAAGTGAGATTTCATCTATGTTTTGGACCCAGGTTAATGATTAGTTTGAGAGGACTCTTAACTTAAACATACGCTTAGACGATGAGGCTATACTTTTCGGTATCAGTACAAAATCGTGGATTGCTCTCAACCTGATCCTTACTTTGTGTCGTTTTCACATTTATAAGATGAAGATGAACGATAACAGACCATCCCTTGCACTATTGAAAATTGATTTAAAACGTTATTTTACTTTGGAAAAGTACATCTCGATTACAAATGGATCTATTGCAAAATTTCATACAAAATGGTACTGTGTCAAAATAAACGCTGTATTCAAAATGTGTTATAGGTCAAGATATTTTGCGACATTGCCTTGGTTTCTTAAGTAGTTTGTGTAAAGCTGAGAAGATGCTTTGAGGTTGAATAAAATATTTCCTCC